GGGGTGGGGTTATTTTTCCGGTCCTTTTTGTCTATACCCCCCTTTCCTTTCCTTTCCCCCCCCTGGTTTGTAAATGGTGGGGGTTCCAGGCGGTTGGGTTGGGCTAGGAAAGTTGCTTAATTCTTTGGGGGGCAAAGTCTTTTTTTTTTGCTCTTCCTTTTCCCCCAAGCTTCTCCGGGTGCCGTGGTTCTTTCTTTTCCCCTTTCCCCCCCCCCCCCCCCCAAAAAATCCTAGAAGAAAAAAAGTACAAATCTACATTGCCCCCTGACCCATCACCCATCGTTCGCCCCGCTCAAGCTGATCAAGAGGAAAAGAAGAAACAAATGAAATAAAACTCCTCGCACGCTTCAAAAACCCCCATCCCATCCCATCCATGCCAACACCATCCCAGCCAGCCAGACGAAGAGAGACCAAACGAATACAACCAAACACCATCGCACGCAAAAAGAACAACAAAAACCAGATGTCTTTGAAGCAAAAATCGTCAAAGAAGGATAAGATTGTGGTAAAAGAAAACACAACAATGGCACTGCGCTTTGATGAAAAGGGTGTGCAAGCATCACGAGCGACCTGTTTCACTGACTCGTCGTCTCCGCCCTCGACTGCCGCCCTCGGGTCGCTGGGCAAGGACGTCGCGGAGTTGAGCGTCGTCCTTGTCCTTGTCAATGTGGTGGACACGGACATGCCTACAAAGGAAGAGACATGCACGCGTTAGCCAGATGATAACAGACAGCTAGACCATCCCTCCTAGTACAATAATCGTACACCGTCACAGTCAAGAGTCAAGAAAGAGGGGCTACACACCTCTGAAGATTATCAGGTCGGGGATACTTGTGCTCTCGATCCGGACAAAACGGGCACACATAGCCTGGAGACTGATGGACCAACCCGTGCCGTATCATTTCGTTTTTGCGCTTGAAGCCTTTGCCGCCTTCACCTCGTGGACAGCCTTTGACGGGGCAATAGTGGGGTCGGTTTTGTGAGTGGACATTGGTATGAGAGCTTTTGGGTCGTCATTAGCAAGAAAAAAAAACTTTGGATGACAATATACTAGATACTGTCCAAGCACATGAGGTCTAGACTCACTTCAAGAGATACTGCGTCTGAAACGGCTGCGCATTGCAGTGGGGATAGTCGCACTTGAAGGAGCCTGTGCTATGCGAGGGAATGGCTTGCATCCCCGATCCCAGTGGCGGCGGCAAAACTCTTGAAGCCAGCGCATCGTCCAAACTCACATGTCGTGCTCGCGGCTCAATAGGCGTCGGTTGTGATCCAGGGCTCAAGCCATCGGTGCTCTGATAGCTTTCGCTCGTTGATCCGGAATGATGGGTTGAATGATAGGCCCCCCCGCCTTCTGATGCAGCGTGTGATGGCCGCCGAGCGTCGGTACCGAATACACCAGCACCACCGGCGCGTAGGAATATGTCTGCTCGTTGTGAATCACCGTTGGCGCTCATAGGTGAGGATGCGCTCAACAAGGAAAAGGGGGTCCCTGGCGAGTGCGAGCTAATGGACAGCTGTCGTACCATGGATGTGGGCGACTGCCCTACCGAGGATACGGATTGCCGGTGGTGGAATCCGTTTGGTCTGCTCATGTCTTGTTCACTCGTCGCCGATCGGGCTATGTCGTCAATGTGTCGGAAAGAGGGCAAGGATTGCTGGCTGCACGGTGAGCCGGCGTCATGAGCAGGCGATGGGGCTTGTAAAGCCGGGAGCTTATCTTGACCTCCCATGGACGGGATGGCCAGGGGCCGAAGATGTGGAGATGCAGTCGAGGAAATGCCATGGGATTGCCCATTTGGGATGACTCCGTTTTGTTGGCTGTGAGGAGTGGACGATAATAAGGGTAGTATAGAATGGCCATGTGGGGTCATGCTTGCACTGCTTACACTCGAGCGTCCGCCATGGAGTGTGCTGCTCACATTCGAGGCATAAGACGGCCGTCTGTCAGCCAAGGGACCACCAGCCCTCAGCACATCGTCGTCAATCACCGAATCTCTATGGCTAGCCGTCGCTTTCGGATCATGTGGCTCAAAGGAGATTGCTGCGAAGCGCTGTACATTCTGAGCCTGGAGATCCTGCGGACGTGGCGGTGCTTGATACTCGGACCTTGCATGGACGGCGGCTGGGTAACTCTCTTCCATGTCTGCGTCGTCGTCCTCGTCGCTTTCCGACGCCGATCCGGACTCTAGTGCTCTTTCACTCACTTGCTGGGCAATGTCTGGACGGTTCGGGTCCATTTCACGAATGAGCACCCAGTCGCCCTGTGTCGGTCGGGTTCTTGCCCGATTCCTAGATTTGGACGGGGCGCAGGAAGAAGAATTGAAATTTGTATCTAGGGAGAGTGGTCGGTAAGGCTGGATCACAACAGGGGTGGGAGAGGGTGATGGAGTCGTCCTGACCACGACGGCTTCGAGAGGAGGGGATCCTAACCTGGCGTCGCTGTCGTCGTAATAATCGTTCATGTGGAATTCAATTCACTGTCCAGGGAAGGCCGACCAACCGAAAAAAAAAGCGAAATCAGAAAGTAGGAAGAAGAAGAAGAAGAAGAAGAAGAAGAAGAAGAAGAAGAAGAAGAAGAACAAGGATTGCCGAGGACAAGTAGAATTAACCCAGCGACGTTTCCGCAAAGGCTCCCAAGGAGAGACCAAGGCGACGTCGTTGAGAAAGCAGGTCACACCAAGACCAGTCGTTGAAGGCTGTGTTGAGAAGCGTCAGCATGATCATAAAGGGATGGACTCTGGAATGGTGACACTCTCAAGGCGAGCGAGGAAGACGGACACAAGAGGATGAAAAAAGGTCGGAGATGGACCGAAGTGAAGGTAGTGCGACTCCGTCGTCTCGCTTTTAAGTGGCAAGT